TATATGCATGTATTCGCAAAACATATTCCTTTATTTATGCAGCAGTTAAAGGCAAAAGATCTCTCTTTACAACTTTTTTCTACCTCGAGCATAGAAAAAAAAATCACAATCAGGTAACATAAACCTTTAATTAATTTATATTTACATTTATGCATTTTCTAATATATTTATCATTAGGTTCGACTATTTTTTGGGGGTACTACTATGGGAGGAGGAAACAAAGAAAATCCTGTCGTTTATGATATGATGTCTTTCGAAAATCGACAACTTTTTTATCTAATTAATGATGTTCCAAAGGAATTTACTATCGAAACATTAATTTTAAAGACCAGGAAAATTTTTGTATTGATTAAAAATAAGGCCACACAAATTTAATGTCTTGGTTTTTATAGCATGAAGCTTTTAAACAGACCCAGTCAGCCGGCTTTTTTTTTTTAAATTTCATATATAAAGGTTTATAGATTTTTTAAAAAATTTTCCTTAAAAACCTACCCAGTTATTAAGACATATAAAATTTTTTTACAAGTTTTCAAATTTTGACCCGGCTGGGTTATGAAAACCAATAAAGTAATTTTGCATAGCCTAATCATTTTATCGTATTACTTTTGTCCTCTCTAACACAATAATGAAAATCAGCTAAAGCTAATTTTCAACTTAGCCGATCAAGTTTTTTCAAGATCGACTAATCAATTTTTTATTAAAGGGTTATTAATTAAAAAAAAAAAAAAAAAAAAAAAAAAAAATAGCATATTTCAGAATACACTAGGTATTAAAATTCGTGTTTCGAACTTTGAAATCAGAAAATGGAATGGGCATTCTTAGAGACCCATTTTTATGAAATCAGTAATTTTATTATTGATTCAAATTTATCAGAAATGAAATAAAATTGAGATATTTATTCTAATCTGAATTATATTATATATTCTACTAGTATTGGTAGTATTGGCTTATTGTGAAATTTGATTTAACGAATGTACATAATTAATCTAGTAGTTGATGTGGTTGATAGCAATACATAAATCTAGATTTTTTTATGTGCAAAACATCGCATCACCTAGTTTCAGAATTACATGTTTCACTGGCACTAACCATATCAGCATCTTTTGATATCATCCTTTCGAATCCCAATTCTAAAAGCTGTCGCTTCGATAGCCACCACCTTTTTTCCCTACATCTATCACTTTAGAAAACCTA